GTGATCCTCCTTCCTCAGCCTCCCAAGTAGCTGGGACTACAGGTACACACTATCATGCCTGGCTTGTGTAAGGCATTATTTTAAGTGCTTCAGTTGGATCAACTCAATCCTTAAAATCCTGTGAGATAGGTACTATTATTCCATTCAACAGGCGAGCAAATTAAAGGACAGAGAAGGCATATAATTAACAACTGATAAGAGTTGGAATTTCAACCCGGAAAGTTTGGTTTCAGAATCTCCTTTTTAATCACTATATTAGTGTTGAAAAATTTTATGTAGTTGACACCTGAGCAAAATGGTGTTTGGGGGTGTTGTCCCCTCTCCTAGTGGAAAATCTGTATATAACTTTTCTTTTTTGAGACAGAGTCTCCCTCTGTCACCCAGGCTGTGGTGCAGTGGTGGGATCTCTGCTCACTGCTACCTCCGCCTCTCAGTTCAAGTGATTCTCCTGCCTCAGCCTCAGGAATAACTGGGTTTACAGATGCCCAGCTAATTGTGTGTGTGTGTATGTGTGTGTGTGTGTGTGTGTGTGTGTTGACCATGTCTTGCTCTGTTGTCAGGCTGGAGTGCAGTGGCCTGCCTCCCAGGTTCAAGCGATCCTCCTGCCTCAGCCTCCTGAGTAGTTGAGACTACAGGAGTATGCCACCACGCCCAGCTAATTTTTATATTTTTAGTAGAGATGGGATTTCACCATGTTGGCCAGGATGGTCTCGATCTCTTAACCTCATGATCCGCCCACCTCAGCCTCCCAAAGTGCTAGGATTACAGACATGAACCACTGCGCCCGGGCCATAATATTTTTATTTTCAGTAGAAATGGGGTTTCACCATGTGGCCAGGCTGGTCTCAAACTCCTGACCTCAAGTAATCCACCCTCTTTGGCCTCCTACACTGCTGGGATTACAGGCATGAGCCACTCCACCCGGCCTGTGTATAACTTTCCCAAAAACTTAACTACTAATACCCTCCTGTTGACCAGAAGCCTTATTGATAATGGTAAATTACACACATTTTGTATGGTTTTTAAATTTTGTCTTTTGTTTTCTTTCCAGACAGGATCTTGCTCTATTACTCAGGCTGGAGTACAGTGGCACTGTCAGAGTGCACTGTAGCCTTGACTTCCTGGGCTCAACTGATCTTCCTTCCCTCCTCTTCCTCCTGAGTAGCTTGGACTACAGGCATATGCTCAGTTAATTTTTCAATTAATTTTATAGAGGTGGGGTTTCACTATGTTGCCCAGACTGGACTCAAACTCCTGGGCTCAACCAACCCACCCCACCTACCTCAGCCTCCTAAAGTGCTATGATTATAGGTGTGAGCCACTGCATCCAGCCCATTTTGAATGGTACATGTATCATATACCATATTCTTTTTTTTTTTTTTTTTTTTTTTTTTTTGATACAGGATCTCACTCTGTCACCCACATTGGAGTATAGTGGCATGATCTCAGCTCACTGCATCCTCTACCTTCTGGGCTCAAGCAAATCTCCCACTTCAGCTTCCCGAGTAGCTGGGACCACAGGTGCATGCCACTACACTGGGCTAATTTTTCTATTTTTATTTTTTAATTTTTTTTGTAGAGACAGAGTTTTGCTATGTTGCCCAGCCTGGTCTCAAACTCCTGACCTCAAACAATTCACCCTCCTTGGCCTCCCAAAGTGCTCATGTGTGTGAACCACTATGCCCAGTCTACTGTATTCTTACAATAAAGTAAGCTAGAGAAACGTTATTAAGAAAATCATAAGGCAAGTGCAGGCACAGTGGCTCACGCCTGTAATCCCAGCACTTTGGGAGGCCAAGGCTGGCAGATCACTTGAGGTCAGGAGTTTGAGATCAGGCTGGCGAACATGGTGAAACTCCGTTTCTACCAAAAATACAAAAATTAGTTGGGTACAGTGGCACGTGCCTATAATCCCAGCTACTTGGGAGGTTGAGGCAGGAGAATCAATTGAACCCCGGAGGCAGAGGTTGCAGTTAGCCAAGATTGCTCCACTGTACTCTAGCCTGGGCAACAGAGCAAGGCTCTGTCTCAAAAAAAAAAAAAGAAAAAATCATAAGGCAGAGAAAGTATGTTTACTATTCATTAAGTGGAAGTGGTCATCATCCTAAAGGTCTTCATCCTTATCATCTTCACATTAAGTGGGCTCAGGAAGAGGAGGCCTTGGTCTTACTGTCTCAGGGGTGGTGGCAGGACAAGAAAATCTGTATAATTGAACTCTCACATTTCAAGCATGTGTTGCTAAAGGTCGCTGTGGTTAAACAAGTGAAGTCCCTAGGTCCCTGTTAGATGGCAGCCATGTAACCAAAAAGTAGTATAGTACTATACTATAGAAAGTCAAGAATGGCTAGGTGTGGTGGCTCATGCCTGTAATCCCAGTACTTTGTGAGGCCAAGGCAGGCAAATCAATTGAGTTTATAAGTTTGAGTCCATCCCAGCCAACATGGTGAAACCCTGTCTCTACTGAAAATACAAAAATTAGCCAGGCGTGGTGGCACACACCTGTAATCCTAGCTACTTGGGAGGCTGAGGTATGAGAATTGCTTGAACTAGGGAGGTGGAGGTTGCAGTTAGCCGAGATTATGTGCCACTGAACTCCAACCTGGGTGACAGAGTGAGACTGTCTCAAAAAAAAAAAAGTCAAGAATGAAGAACATAAGAATAACAATACCTATTTCCTAGAGTTATTGGGAGATTCAAACATATAATTTAAGAGGCCTAAAACAGAACCTGTCAGAGAGTTTGAGCACATAGTAGATTTTAGGAGTTTGTTTTGTTTTTGTTTTTTTTTCCGAGACAGAGTCTCGCTGTATCGCCCAGGCTGGAGTGCAATGGTGCGATCTTGGTTCACTACAACCTCTGCCTCGTGGGTTCAAGCAATTCTCCTGCCTCCTGAGTAGCTGGGATTACAGGCAACTGCCATCATGCCCAGCTAATTTTTGCATTTTTGTAGAGACGGGGTTTCACCATTTTGGCCAGGCTGGTCTTGAACTCCTGACCTCAGGTGATCTGCCCACCTCGACCTCCCAGAGTGCTGGGATTTACATGTGTGAGCCACTGTGCCCAGCCTAGTTTATTAAGAATTAAAGTTCTTGCAATGAAAGACTTACATTCCAGCCTGGGCAACAGAGCAAGACTCTATCTCAAAAAAAAAAAAAAAAAAAAAAAAAAAACAAAAAAAAAAAAAAAAAAAAAAAAAAAAAAAGAAAGTTAGCCAAGCATAATGGCTGATGCATATTGTCCCAGCAAGTTTGAGGTGGGATGATCACTTCATACCAGCCTAAAAGAACTTGTCTTTAAAAAAAAAAAAAAAGGAATGAAAATTGCAAGCCAATAAATGGCTTTACTAATCTGCCTCCTCATTTTTTATTAGGCTTGAAGGTGTTAATGAAGTAGCACCTGTGAGTAGCCCTCTTGTCTGCCACTATCCTGTTTCCTTGTCCTATACACTTGTCTATTAATAAGGTTAATGTAATTTGATCCTATTAATATTTATTTTATATTTTCCTGCAGGAAGTTGGAAATCTGTATGACATGTTCCACACTCGCAACTGTTTACACCGTAGAGCTTATCAACACAAAGTTGGCAACATCATTGATACAATGTAAGAAACTTGATGGTCATTTCCCTATAAAATATTCCATGATACTTTGCTAGAGTATCATACTAGGCTCAACTTGACATTTCTAGATAAGTTTAAGTGCATATTAAGTGATTAAATCTAAAATGGTTTCCTTAAAGAAAAACTCTAGAATAAAGTTAATTTAGTTGGAGGAAAAGGAGGGAAATGAATAAAGGGGCAGATGAAGAAGAGCTGGCTTCGGCCAGGGATGAAGCGGCAGTGCTGGGATCACTCAGGACCTCTGAACAGGTAGTCACTTACATACCAGATATAAGTCATCAGGAGAATGAGAGGTAGGGCATGAATATTTGAATTCTGAGATTAATTACAAAAATAAACTTTAAGGATTAAGATTAATGTCTAATTCTTTCCAGTCAAATATTCATCAAAAATAGTACCAAATGGTAAAACCAACAGGAATTTTACCTCTTCCTGACCCAGTCAGAACCGTAGCAGAAAACTATATAGCCAGGTCTCTTCATGACTCAAAGACTCCATGAGGAGTTATCAAACACTGGGTGTGAGTCAAGTTACTTCTTCCATGACTCTAAAATTAAGCCTTAAATTGATTAACCTTTATTTCGTTTTTCCATTTGTGTTGAGGAAATTTATCTTCATTCCTATTTTTCACCTGTCCTTTGTCATGAGCAGATTACTTGGAATACATTCTCCTATTTGTATGTTAATACTTTGGTAAGAGTTGTTGTTGTTGTTGTTGTTGAATTCAGAGAGATCTAAGCTCAAAGCCTGGCACTGTTTCTTCCTAAGTTGGTTAAATGAAAATTCACTTCATTTCTGTATCTGTAAAATTGGGGCTGGGCCGGGTGCAGTGGCTCACGCCTGTAATCCCAGCACTTTGGGAGGCCAAGGCGGCTGGATCACCTGAGGTCAGGAGTTTGAGACCAGCCTGGCCAACATGGTGAAACCCCATCTCTAAAAAAAATACATATATATTGGGACTGAATATCCCTACCTTATTGTTGGGAAGATTAAAGAAGATGATGCATGTAAAGCCCTGCCGCAGTGCCTGGAACACAGTAAGCATGGTAGCTCACAGGCCACCATGCACATGGTTAGTATGGTTGAGAAGCAATTGTCTTTAGAACCATTGTGCCTCATTATTTTATTTCCCAAAAGTAGAAAGATTTCCTTAAGCAAGACATAAGGCAAATATTCAAAATTTCTCATAAGCATCCATTTTTGCAAAATAATTTTTAGGATTACAGATGCGTTCCTCAAAGCAGACCCCTACATAGAGATTACAGGTACTGAAGGAAAGAAGTATAGCATTTCTACAGCAATTGATGACATGGAAGCCTACACTAAGCTTACAGGTAAGAAGTAACAGGTAACATAGATGGTCCACCTCAGATAAACTATGTCTCTGAATTGCCAATAGGTTATTTTTCTTTATTTTATTTTTCATTTTTAAAAATAATTATTTAATTTTACAAAAATAAAGAAGGGGTCTCACTATATTGCTCAGGCTGCTCTCAAACTCCTGGGCTCAAGTGATCTTCCTGCCTTGACCTCCGAAAGTGCTAGGATTACAGGTGTAAGCCACTGCACCCAGCTGATGGAAGTATTTTAGCTTCCCAAGGAATTATCTCCTTTTGAATTTGAGTTTTATTTCTGTCTTGTACTGATAAAGTGAACTTGACTGAGTGATTTAACCTACCTGAACCTCTCATCTATAAAATGAGGGTAATGATACCTAGCATATAGTTTGTTGTGATGTTTAAATGAGGAATAGCACCAAGTACAGACTTGACAAATAAGTACTCAATATGCATTATTTTACTTTTATTTTTTGAGACGGAGTCTTGCTCTATTGCTCAGGCTGAAGTGCAGTGGCACAATGTTGGCTCACTACAGCCGCCACCTCTCAGGTTTCAGCAATTCTCCTGCCTCAGCCTCCTGGATAGCTAGGATTACAGGCGTAGCCCACCATGTCCCACTAATTTCTGTATTTTTAGTAGAGATGGGGTTTCACCATATTGGCCAGGCTGGTCTTGAACTCCTGACTTCAGGTGATCTGCCTGCCTTGGCCTCCCAGAGTGCTAGGATTATAGGCATGAGCCACCACGCCCGGCCCATTATTTAACTGTTTAATTTTATTTTTATTTATTTTATTTATTTTTTGGAGACAGGATCTTATTCTGTCATCCAGGCTGGAGTGCAGTGGTGCCATCACAGCTTATTGGAGCCTCAACCTCCTGAGCTCAAGTGATCCTCCTGCCTCAGCCTCAGCCAAGTAGCTGGGACTATAGGCATATACCACCACACCTGGGTAGTTTTTTAAACTCTTGTAGAGACAGGGTCCCACTATGTTGCCCAGACTTGTCATTATTTAACTCATAATATACCTGAATACTAACAAACTGACTTGGTCATTTAAGATTGTTTTCATTGCAAAAACACAAGATGTCAGGAACATCAGTCCACACTTTTGCAGAAACAAAATCTTGAGCTTAGTGTGGGAAGGAGGAAAGAGAGGTAAAGGTGCCACAGGTGGTTCTTTATTGTGGGAAAGTATTGCCTGAGATAAAGCAAAAGAAATAGAACAAAAAGTGTACAGCAGTCAGAGTTAAAAATTACGAAACCATTTACTAAAAATAAAATTGGGCCAGGTGCAGTGGCTCATGCCTGTAATCCCAGCACTTTGGGAGGCCGAGGTAAGCAGATTACCTAAGGCCAGGAATTTGAGACCAGCCTGGCCAAAATGGTAGAACACTATCTCTACTAAAAATACAAAAATTAGCCAGGTGTAGTGTCATGCACCTGTAATCCCAGCTACTCAGGAAGCTGAGGCAGGAGAATCACTTGAACCCAGGAGGCAGAGGTTTCAGTGAGCCAAGATTGTGCCACTGCACTCCAGCCTGGGCAACAGAGCAAAACTCTGTCTTAAAAATAAATAAATAAACAAACAAAAAAAAATTAAATTGGAAAGCAATCCTATAGCTTACGGAATCAGTGGAAAGGCTGGAGGCTCTGAAAATGGAGAAAACAACAGAAGCCAAATGACTTAAGACACAACCAAATCGCTCTACCATAGCTTCCTGCCTAGAGTGCCGCTGTTCTACCACAGCTGGATTCTATTTGCTGCACACTGACAGAATGAAACCTAAACTAGCTCCTCCTAAACTGTCTTTTTAGACAGTTTCTTAAATTACCAACCCTTACAGATTGATATTTCTGTAAAGTATGATAAAAATGAATTACTAGAAAAATGAAATGGGGGGAAAAGACATGTAAAATACAAGCCTAAATTTTTATTATTCAACTTGACAGACTTCACATTACATTTCAGTAAATTTAATCAAAAGATACATAATAGGCAGACAAGGTGGCCCGTGCCTGTAATCCCAGCACTCTGAGAGACAAGGCAGACGGATTGCATGAGCCCAGGAGTTTGAGACCAGTCTGGGCAACATGGTGAAACCCTGTTTCTACAAAAAATTTAAATATTAGCCATGGCGATGTGTGCCTGTAGTCCCAGCTACTCAAGGTGCTGAGGCTGGGGGATCACTGCAGCCCAGGAGGTCGGGGTTACAGTGAGCCAAGATTGCACCACTGCACTCCCACCTGGGCAACAGGGTGAGACTCTGTATCAAAAATAATAATAATAGAGAACAAATTAAATTATAAAAACTATATACATTGCTCTTTTTTTTTGAGACAGAGTTTCACTCTTGTTGCCCAGGCTGGAGTGCAATGGCATGATCTCAGCTCACTGCAACCTCTGCCTCCCAGGTTCAAGCCATTCTCCTGCCTCAGCCTCTCAAGTAGCTGGGATTACAGGCATGTGCCACCATGCCCAGCTAATTTTTTATATTTTTAGTAGAGACGGGGTTTTTCTATGTTGGTCAGGCTGGTCTCGAGCTCCCGACCTCAGGTGATCCGCCCACCTCGGCCTCCCAAAGTGCTGGAATTACAGGCATGAGCCACCGTGTCCAGCTACATTGTTCTTTAAAAATATATACGTAAGGCCAGGCAGGGTGGCTCACACCTGTAATCCCAACACTTTGGGATGCTGAGAGACAGGTGGATCACTTGAGGTCAGGAGTTCAAGACCAGCCTGACCAACATGGTGAACCCCCATCTCTACTAAAAATACAAAATATTAGCTGAGTGTAGTGGCAGGTGCCTGTAGTCCCAGCAACTCAGAGGCTGAGGCACAAGAATCACCAGGAGACAGGGGTTGCAGTGAGCTGATATCAAGCCTGGATGACAGAGCAAGACATCATCTCAAAAATAAAATAAAAGAAAAAAAAATTGAACAAGCTGAGGATATTCGCTTTTAATTTTCATTCATAATAAAACAAGTAATGCCACATTTTTAAAAGTCATCTTCATCTAGGTGTATTTACATGTACCATTAGTCCCAGCTGTTCAGGAGACTGAGACAGGAAGATTAATTTTTTCAAATTATACTTACATTTAAACTACGTTTTAGTTTAGCTGGGCATGGTGGCATGTGCCTGTAGTCCCAGCTACTCAGGAGGTTAAGGCATGAGGATTGCCTCAGCCCAGGAGGTCAAGAATGCAGTGAACCATGATCACATGCCACTTCACTCCAGCCTGACGACAGAGTGAGACGCTGTTTAAAAAATAAAATAAAATTTAGCCAGGTATGGTGGTACACGTCTGTAGTTCCAGCTACTCAGGCTGAGGCAGGAGGATTGCTTGAGCACAGGACTTTGATGTTGCAGTGAATTATGATAGTGCCATTGTACTTAAGCCTGGGCTACAGAACGTGACCTTGTCTCCTAA